CTTTAAATCAGGGTGGGGCTGATGGGGGGGGGGGGGGTGAGAAAGTGTGGGTGCTCGATGATTAGGTGAAAGGGTGCTAGCTCGCAAAATAAGGTGATTTCCCTTTGAAACAACGTCATGTAAACAACAATGGGCAGTAATATATCGTCATTGTCACGTAAATGCACGCAGTGTGATTGTCCAAGTTTGTTGATTTGTTTATCCAAGTTAAAAACAATGCGCGCGAGGTAAACATGGCAACATTAACAAATGTTATTATATAAATATAAATTTTTATTTTTGAAATTATTAGTCTAGGGTCATGGAATCGTTTATTTTTAAATCAATACGTTTCGAGTGAAGGATCATAACTGTATAAATATAAATGTTGAAAACTAATAAGATAGGCACGTAACAATGATGATTTCTTTTTCTTTGTTTTTGTTCTGTATTTCATATAGGATTCTAATCCATATCAAAATATTTCATGTTCATCCATCTAATAGAAAGCTCTAACGTGACGTGATTGTTGTTACTTGTAAATAAACCAGTTTATCTTTTCAGGACATTTCAAATAGGCCTACGCATTACACACATATTAATCACATTATACTATTTGAAACCATATCAAATTATTTGATCATTAATAATAGAAAGCTCAATATTGAAAATAAGAATATTTGGTAACTAACATTGCAAAATTGGGAACACATAGAACTATTGTTGTTTTATTTCGATTTCTGCTGATTTCATATTATAAATAAATTGTATTTGCATTGCAAATTATTGCTATATGGAGTTCTTATTCTACTGTAACTGATTCCTATGTCCCTATTAATGGGACACTTTATTTTGGTCCCGAAGGTGTCCCCTTAATAGTGGTTCTGTGTTTTTTTAAACTGATCAACAAAGGTGGCGTCATATGTGCCCGCGACCAGCGACCGATAAAGGGAATGTCGCTGAAGCGAGCATAAGTGGGGGGGGGGGGAGGTGCTGTCGGCGATCCTCAAAATCAAAATGAAGACAATGTGTCACTATGGAGAAATAACTTTAGAGTGCCACGTCACTCTATGGTGTCACATAGTGTCACAATAATTTGTTGGTGATTCTTTAGGCTGACTAATATAAAACTGGTCAAACTGGCTTTCAAGCAACATCGAGGTCCGATTCTTTCCTCCGTGTCTATACTATTACTACTTTTACAATATCAAGTCAGCACACATTGGCCTACACACAACCATGCACATACGCACAACCACACACACACACACACACTGACACACACACCCACACAACCATATACACATCCACACAACCACACATAACACACAACTATGACACACCCACACGAAAAGGATATTTTAAAAGGATTATGTAAAATTGACTATCAAACAAGTGAAAAAAAAAAGAATTTTAAAATATTTGCAACTTTTTGGATTTATCAACAGTCCTTTCAAATGAATAGTTTACGGTATACGTCATGGAAATTTCAGTTCAGGTGTGTCTTCGCATTGGATAAAACTAAATCAAAATATACGTTACGCACAGGACACACAGAACACAAATTAAATGTCATTCCATACATTTTTGAAGTATGCAAATACAACACCACATTGGAACCTGAAACTTGGGGTAAATCGGGGTACTAGGAGTTTTCGCCGCCGAATGCCAGTTTGCCGACGAACGTTTGGCCGAAAACAGTTAACCGAAAGAACATTCACCGACACCGGAATTCGCTGACACCGAATTTCGCCGACTGGACGTTTCACCGACAACCAATTCGCCGACAATTTTTTGTTGTGATGTTGTGATTGATATTTCGTCGACAAATGTTTTGTTTTGTGGACTGGTAGTCATCATGGAAAATCGTTATACCTATACATACATGCAGACCCATTTTTAATATATAAATCATGCAATATAAGATTCTGCTAAAAATATTAAATATAGGCTTATAATAAACACATAGTACTACAAATCACAAGAGACTGTAATAATTAACACAATATAAGGGCAATTTTTGCTAAATTGGTACAAATTTAGATAAAAAGAAAGACAAGATACAATGTGATTTTATTGCAAATTTAAGGAAAATGGAAATGTACAATATAAGCCTACTTTAAAGTTATAATATTATAAATGTTTAAAATACACCAGAACACGACGTATTACAAAATATACAGTAAAGTTAAAATATACAATAGGGAGGACACATTACAATATTAATTGGTCGATATATTTAAATTATTCATTCACATATGAAAATTTAAAAAAATAGCAGCACAGACTGAATCACAATTTCAATGTATGGTACAAATTGGGCAAATCAATAAATTGGGTATAATAAATATATAAATGGGTATAGGCCTATATACAGTTCAATAAATGTGGAATTAATTTGTATACAAATTTAAAAAAGTGTAAATTGATTAAGTATACTGCTTATATACAATTAGATACAGAAAATGACAAATTAAAATATAATAAGGAAATGTAAGAAAGCACAATATTGTAATAAAATAGCTATTAAATAAGTCATATTAAAATATGGGCGGTGCACGAAAAAATGTATAGGGCATATGTATATGTCATAAATACCGTCTGAAACTTTTTTTGTGTTTTTGTTTGTTTTGTTTTGTTTTGTTTTGTTTTTTCTTTTTTGGAGGGGTATTTGTTCTGACTTTAGGCAATGTACTATCTCATTATTCATAGTTCTCCACCAATGAACACAACGAACGACTTCCAATATTTGCATGTTCAGCACAGTCTAGATATTCGTCGGCATAGAGTGACTTGCAGAATTTTCGTCATTTCTATACTCAGCACAATCCTGGTAAAGGAAGTCGAACCTGTACTGGTCCGGAGTACCCATCCCTCTTTCGTAAGTGTTGGGCCAGACTGTGCAATGCTTTGAGGGGATCACCACTACTCCTCACAGCGAGTCTGTTGATGACCTTCCCAGCATATGCCGGTTCCCATTTGTATTCTATAGGTAGAAAATTTATGATTTAAGCAGAAATTGCACTCTCAGACTTAAAATTTTATTATAATTTTCTTTTATCTCCATTTTTTTAAAGTTTGAACAATTTGCTTTTTATTTATTTATTTATTTTTTTGTTAAATATTTCGCACGGATGCTCCTCACATTGCACAGCCTTAGCTTCGAGGAGCCTCTAAAGGTATGAGAACATATGTCATATTTCATGATTTTATCATATATTGGGCATTTCGTGAGTCTGATGGGGTACAATATTGACAACAATAGAACAATCATTCAATTAATTGCAGTGATGTAAATCTAAAACGTATTCACGAAGTATGATGACGTGATTCAAAAACGTCCACATTATAAAATAATACAAAACAAAAACGTGCGTGCCGACATTTCAATTACTTTAGAAGTATGTTCAAAGTATTTCAGTGCATCCTAACATGGTACGAATGCATAAATGCCTGAATGAATGAGAATAGCCTTGAATATATTCTACAGATACGAAGATGTTCATGGTTTTTTTTTGTTTTGTTTTTTTTTTGTTAAAAAAAAAAGTTAAAAAGGATCCATAACTTTCAGTTTTGCGGCACCAATAGGTAAATTGTAATGGATATAATCAATAATTATGGCTGTAAAACCTAATAATTGAGGGGTCCTTGAAAATATAAGTAGGAATGTCTAAACTTAAAATTTTAGATCTATAGACATAGACCTATTGAACGGGCTCCCAATAGCCCCGGGGCCGCAGTGCTCTGCACTGCCCACACCATACGCCACTGGCTTTGAGTTAGTAAAATATTGATGATTTGTATTTGTCTTTAAAGTGGTCTCGAATTAGAGGGGTCGAGAATGTAAGGAGTCTCGAATTATTCGAGGGTGTGAACTTAAAAGAAACTCAATTCATGCGGAGGAATAGTTAATTTTTCTACCATTTTCACAATAAAATTTGTAACTTTTGTGGTCAAGCACTATCAAACATGGGTGCTGGTTTGGGCCCACTCATAAGTTCTCCTCTGTTATTGCAATGGTTCTATCTATGTAGAAAATTTATTATTTAAGCAGAAATTGCACTCTCAGACTTAAAATTTTATTATAATTTTCTTTTATCTCCATTTTTTTAAAAGTTTGAACAATTTGCTTTTTATTTATTTATTTTTTTTTTGTTGAATATATCGCACGGAGGCTCCTCACATTGCACAGCCTTAGCTTCGAGGAGCCTCTAAAGGTATGAGAACATACGTCATATTTCATGATTTTATCATATATTGGGCATTTCGTGAGGTACAATATTGACAACAATAGAACAATCATTCACTTAATTGCAGTGATGTAAATCTAAAACGTATTCACGAAGTATGATGACGTGATTCAAAAACGTGCACATTATAAAATAATACAAAACAAAAACGTGCGTGCCGACATTTCAATTACTTTAGAAGTATGTTCAAAGTATTTCAGTGCATCCTAACATGGTACGAATGCATAAATGCCTGAATGAATGAGAATAGCCTTGAATATATTCTACAGATACGAAGATGTTCATGGTTTTTTTTTGTTTTGTTTTTTTTTTGTTAAAAAAAAAAGTTAAAAAGGATCCATAACTTTCAGTTTTGCGGCACCAATAGGTAAATTGTAATGGATATAATCAATAATTATGGCTGTAAAACCTAATAATTGAGGGGTCCTTGAAAATATAAGTAGGAATGTCTAAACTTAAAATTTTAGATCTATAGACATAGACCTATTGAACGGGCTCCCAATAGCCCCGGGGCCGCAGTGCTCTGCACTGCCCACACCATACGCCACTGGCTTTGAGTTAGTAAAATATTGATGATTTGTATTTGTCTTTAAAGTGGTCTCGAATTAGAGGGGTCGAGAATGTAAGGAGTCTCGAATTATTCGAGGGTGTGAACTTAAAAGAAACTCAATTCATGCGGAGGAATAGTTAATTTTTCTACCATTTTCACAATAAAATTTGTAACTTTTGTGGTCAAGCACTATCAAACATGGGTGCTGGTTTGGGCCCACTCATAAGTTCTCCTCTGTTATTGCAATGGTTCTATTTTAAAAGCGTATGAGTATAAAAAAGGGGAATAGTGTTAAATAATAGAAAAAGGTCTACCACCACAGTTTACGGTGCGCAGCAATGTTTAAGAATAATGCATGTAGGACATAATTTTTCAACAAAAAAAGTATATTTTGGAGGGAAAACACTAGTATCGGCGCAAATAGATGGGGAACAAAACTCTGGGCCCTCAGTGGGAAATTGGAAAATAGAGAACACTATTTTTACAATCTTAGAGTGCCATTTCGGGGCATCTAGTGGTATCCTTTGTATCTTTTTAAAAAAGCAAATTTCTCAACTCAGTCCCAACCACGGTGGGGCTGTTGAATAGGCCTATTGGTCAACACACTATTAGTATTATACAAAAAAAAAAAAACCCCAAAAAACAAAACAAAAAACCGGAAGACTGACGTAGGCCTACGTGCAGCTGGTGAAGTTTGGGTTCGAGGCAAGACTGAATGGAATACAGTATTTACAAAAATGGTTAATAAACAATGTACTGTAGTTTCGATACAAGGTAGGCTTACGTCTGTCAAAAACCAAATCAAAAGCTCTTAGATGATGACACAGAAATCATAAATTATACTATCGTACGTAATATAAGTGTTTAAAAAGATTAAATTCAAACTTGGTCTCTGAAATTTAAAGTGCTTTATTGTCAGCTTCGGAAAATCAGTAGTGTTTTGGGGGATTTTTAGGTCTATATTGGAAAGTACCAACAGAGAAAATTTTATGTTTCATATTAAAGCAAAAACAACAATTTGAAATAGCTAAAAGGCGAGCGCGTCGTACCGCAGGGAAAGTGTAAAATGCCTTACTTTACTTACAAGCATGACTGTTGCTCAGAAATATTCTCTAACTCTGTTCCGTGCAATTAATGGTTTTAAATTTATAGTAATGAGAAGTGCAAATTTCGTTAAAATAATAGGCTCCCTTTGTTTCCCAGAGATTGTTGTAAAGAGCTCGATCCCACCCACATTTATCTGAATTGTCAAACAAAATTTAAATACAATATAAATCTTAATATATTTTATTTAATATTTTCTCACAAAAGACAGCTTTCAAAATAATTATCTTTATCCATGATATTTCCTTATTTATATTTATGTTTTATGTAAGAAAATAATCCAATTCAGCTTGGATGAAGCGTAAATAATATCTTCTCGTAATATATTTTATTGTGTAAAATTATGTATCTTGACGTTTCTCAAATGTTTCAAAATTTGAATTTACCACATTTTACCTGTATTTTATGTATATTCTGGAGTATCAATATTGTATATTTGCCTAAAAAGATGAGAAAAAAAAAATATATATATATTTTGTGTATTATTGTGTATTGGCCATGATCACACTGTGTAAAGTTTTGGTGGTGCGCCATCAACGAACATGCAGTTAGAAACCTCGACTACTGAATGAACAGCAGCTAAGATCTGCAGGCTAGCTCGCCCGCGCCCGCCCCTTTTGAGCTTGAGTAGCAGGGCTTGGAGAGAAAGAACGGTGTCGAGTTGCGACAACGAGATTGAAAACAGGTTTCGTAAGTTCGCCTGCATTTTATCAAGATTTTACAGAAAGCATCGCTTGACAGTTACAACTCAAATTGATTACGAATTTATTTGTGTTTTGGGAAGTTAAACTATCCATTATTTTACTCAGTAGTCTATGCAGAAGAGAGTGGTATTTGTTTTTATTTTGGAGCAAAAACACTTTAGCACACATATGTACGGCGTAAGCATAGCCTAGCCTAGGCTAGGCCGAAAGAAGCCTGGAAAGTCCTATATTGTCACTAGTTTAGCCTGTGAGGTTGTTTCATTTGTTTGCCGCTGGATTTATAAAATTGTAATTTTAAAATTCAAATGCAGTCTGTCCAGCCTAATATGTCAATGTACGCAGGGAGGAGGCGCCGACGGCCTGTCAAAAGGTAAGTTAGTTTTTTATTTGTACAAATTCATTTAGGCCTAGGGGCCTAGGCCTTATAGGCCTAGCCTATATGCAATCAATGCCATCATCTCATTCTACTAATGAAGGCTAGGCCTAGCTTAGCGTAGGCTAGGCCCACTAAGCTAGACTTAGCCTTATTTAGCCTATGATAATGTATACTAGGCGGGTATATTTATACGGCCTACTACTTAGAGCCTATGCTTGTGGCCAGCTGGGGCCAGGCACTAAACTTTAGAAAGCCTAGGCTAAGTAAGGCCCTATATATAAACCTACAATAGCCTAGGCCTAGTAGGTGTTAACTTACAACCTACTAATCATATGGTGATATCCATCAGCACTGTTTTCCATGAGACAATTGATAATAAATACTACATAGTAGTAACATGCAAATATTTAATGGATTTGCGGAAGATGGGTTATTTTCCAGGGGATTCTTGCTTGCTTGTGGTAGACTCCAAGACTTACTGGAAACTTGGGATCCCTGCGTAATGAAATGTTCCCCCAAAATGATCTCGGGCCATTAAAAAAGAATTTTTTATTTATATATGGTGAAAAGTTACACTTTTTTAAGCGTACATTAAATATGTTATCCATGTAAAATGTGTACAGTAAGTTTGTTAATCAGTATTTACTATTAATTAAAACAAAATAATTAACATAAATAAGTTTTATAAGACCCTTTGTTTAGTTGTTTTGAACTTATAAAGTGCAGTGAAAATCACATGCCATGATCAGGTGCAGCTGTAGTGAGGCAAAGGACCATGTGCACTGTTTCACAAATACTGGTAAAAATATAAAATCATTGATGCTAGTCGTTTTATACCTTAGGCCAACTGATGAGAATGCATTTCTTACTAAATTTCTTCAAAGTATAAACATAACAAGAAATCAGTCTAGTTACTTTGTGGATAAGTTGGTGAAATATCCATAATTTATGTTGTGCATACATTTTTAGACAGGTTTTATGTGCATGTTATTCTGTTGAAAAGCTAGGTCAACATTTCCTTAATGATAGAATCTGCCTCTGACTGTGATCGGAATAGTACCTACTTCTGTACTATAGTGACACTAATTATGTCTGGGTATTAAAATACTTAGTGGATTAATACAATGTTCAACACTATTGCTCAATTATAAGAGAGTGTAAACACAGCGAAGTATATGAGTATTACGGGGATTCCCCCATAGTGTGTGTTTCGTTGCGCGTTTGATCTGTGTCCAGTGTTCTAATATCTTAAGGCAGTACAACTAAGTTTGACCTGTTTCCTAGCCTTAAAAAAACTTATTTCAATCATTTTTATGTTTAAAATGTTAGTGGTTTAAACTGACAAAAAGTTAATGCACACTGGCCTAATTTTTAGAACAAAGTTGGAGTGGCTTATAGTTTATACTGTACACCAGTGACAGAAAACACAACATGTCTCACCCTCAGTTAATGTTGTTGTTTACACCAGAATGTACAGCTTCTACTCTGGAAATTATTACTAATAAATTGTAAGAGTAATTCAGAACAAACATAAAATACCTCTCTTCTTACAGTAATACAAGATGTGCCAATAATCAGGTTTTGTGCCACAGGTCTGAAAGTAGCAAGAGAAACTTACGCATTAAAACACCTAAAAGAGACGAAGGCCTATCATGAAACGTACTATACAGTACCTCACTGATGCGGTTGTGTTAAACACTTGTACTGTATCTTACAAAATCATTACTAATTGCCAATGGCGGAATGTTGGCATCTCTGTGTATATACTGCCATTAATACATAAACATGGTAATGTTTGTTAAACAACATTAGCTTGCTCTGAGTCCAGGGAATATCGTCAACAATAATTGGCAAATTTGCAAAAAGAAGTTAAATGCTTTTATTATTATGGAGGATTGAATAATGTATGGAATATGGTTATGCCTGAAAAAACAAAGTACAGTAACCTTCAACAATTTCAAGTTCAGTTGAAATGTACATTGACCCTTTTGAGCTGATAATAATGGGGAAAAAAAGAATGATGTCTATCAGCCAAAGAAGATTCAGTTTTCAAATAAAATTGTAACAATTTGATGTCATTGATCTCAGATAAATAATTGCACCTGTAGTGTTATAAAGGAAATGTTAAAAATGGTTTTAAAAAATTAAAATTTGTTTTCTTTAAAAAACTAGTAATCGAATTAAATTTTCATTTAACTGTTTAAAAGAGAGCTTTACAAAAGAATGAAGGCTTTTCTGAATATTGGTTATGGTTATGATTAGGCCTATCAAAAGCAGTCAAGCTTGTATCTAGCCTATTTTTGGAAGTTCACATTTTGACATCTCGAATTAAAACCAAAGTCCGCTTGCAGGTTGCATTGCTAACCGTGACATGTTGAATTTTTCGCATTTGTGACTTCATTGGATTGGCAATAATAATTGCTTAAAATCATAGTATGAAGCATTTGAAATACAGTATACAGTGTAGGCATCATTTTTCAGTAGATGCGTTTAAGCCATTCATCCCTCCTACAGTATGTATGCTTATTAAAAAACAGGGAATTGTCACCTGCTGTACTACTACCCAACACGTCGCTAGGGAGGCACTGATATCATTGCATCTTCTGCCGGTCCACTGGGACGTAGACTAATATTCCAGTTACTCGACAACCAAGAATTAAGTTACATTGCATTTCACATTGTACTGTACTTTTTCTCTTCATCATAAATATTCTTGGAGTGAATTACGGGTTGCCCCACATTTTGTTGAGGTCATAGATGCCATGCACATTTTTTTTTGACGAGCACAGGGAGCATGAATTTGAAATTAAGGACTTAAATTCATAATCATGTACGCTGCAAACCAAACATGAAATGAACATTAGCAACTTGTAAACGCTGAGTATTACATCATACAGTATTTCAAATCCCAGCATTCATTTGCAATCCCAAAATAATTTAATTAGTTTATAATTATTGCATATGTTCAGTGGTTTAGTGACACATTTTACCAGGTACAAAAGGCACCCGAAGCTCCTACCTGCTAGCCCTACTAGCATACAGCGTCAGTTGAAAAGTGCTAACATTTTCAAGGAAATGGCAGTCTGTGTTTATTATTAACACGTTCACTGCCATGACGAGTATACTCAGGTATACTTAATGGACTGGCAGTTTGGGGAAGATATGCTAGATGATATCTTCCATATAACGTATCTTTGTCATGTTATGTTGCCGGTAGTACAAAGGAATGCATGCGTTGGGGGAGGGGTGCCCTTTGAACATATAGGCCTACCAACCCATGTAAAAAGCGGACAAGAAAATTAGGACCTGGCATGGCAGAGGCAATAAAAACTACAGTCCCATTGCCAGCAATGAGTTTATTTGTTCCCTAATAATATTTTTCTGCCAATTTATTAAGACACACTATTTTGATGATGTGACTATCAAATTAAAAAAAAACACTGTAGGCCTACTTGGTTTGGCTCACGAGACCCCAAAAAAGGAGGTGGGTGGCCTGGCAATCAGCGTGTAAAAGTCTTCCTTTCATGACTCATAGAAGAATTCTACATCCCTCTACAGCTTTATATTTCTTACAGAACCATTATAAATTTGCCTACAGTAGACTATTATACAGTAAGCATAGATGTTTACAGGTGAACCTTCGTATAGTAAGTATACAGTCTCTTGAAGTCGATACTTAATTAGCACCACACCAGACCACTGAGCATTCAAATTTGAAGTAACAAATTGAAGTTTAACAATCAAAATTGGAAAGAAACAAGCATATACCATACCATATTGCTGTTATTGTTCCACCAGTAATTCTAATTTAGTGTGAAATTGTGAATATTTTGAAGATTGAATCACCCAGAGCCCTTTTCCCTATCTATTACCCATTACACAACAAGCTTATTTTCTATTGTTGGTTTACAAGATGTTATTGTTAATGTTAGGTAGATGCTATAAAGTTGGCTCGTCCAAGGTAATTTCTTATTATCATACATGTATGGTTTATGCATAAATTTACCTGATTTTTATGTATAAATTTCAACAAATTTTGTCATTACAATTTACTGACAGTAATTGTTCAATGTAATTAAAAGTAATTTTTAAATGATTTGAGTTTAAACTTGTATGCTGATTTTAATTATCAGTTTGAAGTGTTATCCCAGCAAGTTTTGTGTTTAATTGAAACTCCATACTGTAGCATATGGAATACAATGATTATGATATTCGTGTTGCAGTTGACAGGTAGAATTAAGTGGACAGTAAACACAGGCATTCCAGCATGTTGCCTTTGCTTATCCTATATCTATCCTTTGAAATATAAATATCCTGAAATCTCTATTTCCTGATTAGTTTTGAATCATGCATCTGTTAACCCCCTCCCCAATGAATATTCTGCTTGTTATAAAAAAAAACACTGTTAAATTTGAAGTTCTGTAATATGGCCAGTGTTTTTTATAGCTTTGTAATTATCATATTTTGTATTGCAGTACTGTATTCTAAGTCATGTTTTTTATATGTAAAAAGCACTTTAAATTTGGAATTTTTAGCTGTACAGTAGATTTGATCTGTGTTCAAATTCTGCTGAACACCAAGATAGAATTTTTACTTACATACTAATTTAATATGTTTTTCTATCATGTGTATTCAGGCCTGAAATAAGAAACTTGATCTGGTGTTGGGCATATCTCAGTCAATTTGGCTGGAGTCCAGAAGCCAACTAGGCCCTGGAGTTTGAAATGCTCTGAATGAGCATTGCTGAAATCAGCCATTTTAAATTTATTAAGCTGTAGCTTTTATTTACTTACCTAGGACAAGACAATTTTTATCATTGCCCGTTTAAACAGATGATTTAATTAATAACTATCATTTTTTGCAGAACGTTGAAATTAAGTGGCAATCAATTTACACCTAAAATATATATTTAAAAAAATCTGTGGAAATTTTTCCTTGAAAGTTAATAATATTCCTTTTTGGAAAAGTAATTTAATGGTTTTATTAGTGTTTTT